AAGTGCCTCTCTCCGAATTGCCTGTTTTATCTTATCTGTGATGGGTTGTTTGCCTGTAGGAGCAGCTGAGCTCTCTCACCTCCAGTCCAGAAACCACCTGACAGTGATGCGTGTACACTGCGCTTTCATCCTTTCTTTCCAGATTTGTTGGTGGTCTTTTTTTTTTAAGAAAAGATGTGGTCTCTGATCATGACACCTAGTAGCCAGCACTGTAGCCATTCTTGTACTATCACCGGATCAGGAAAGCTAATAGCCTCTCGCCTTAAACCAGTGATAATGACTTGAGCTGGTTTTATTCCAATGAAGTGTTTGTGCTGTTGTTGTGAGTGGCCACAGAAGGTCCTTCCACAGGCAAACAGTAGAAAACTCATGAGCGATTGGCCTCATCAACAGTCCCGTCTTCTTTTTTAAGTTTGTCATATTTCATCACATTCTAGAGCGTGTGCGGTATTTTGAGTCATCTCCTGCTTTTGTTCTTAGGTTCCTCTATTTTTATTTAGTTAGCAATGGCGCCAATGAGAGATAGAGCACTTGTGTTCATTTGCCAGGCAAACAGAATATTTGCAAACAAATGCACGGGAACAATGTCACCAAGCTGTAGTTCATAAAATGTGATGGCAAATGACTACATGTTGCACAGTAATTCAATAATTGGCTCCAAAACGCTGTTTGCCACTAATTGGAGTCTACCCCCTGCTGCTTTCACTAAGGTTTGAGGCTTTCTTGAGCACCAGTTTGTAAACATGACCAGATCCAGGTGCAAAGAAAGAGCTCTGTACTGTATGTATCATGAGCACAATAATACTTATGCAAAGTAAAAATGATTCTTACGATTCCTGGCAGCCTCAACTATTCAAAATGTTTCTCACAAATTTACTTGATGGCCAATTAATTTGGTAATTAAGAAGCATGAGTTTACACATTCAATAGATTCCAAAAAACACATTCTGTAAAATAAGGCATTTTCACTCACAGTTCTGTTTTTATACATAGCTGCAGCATCATATATGCTGGAGTACTATTTTAGATTGCATGACTGAGATTGAATTATTATTACTGCAGATTAATCATTAATAAAAGGTCATTATCAAAAGATACTGAAAAGCAGTTCTTTATCCAATTTTCCTCAACAACAATATTGCGTAAGTGTAATTTCTGTTCAAGTCTTACATTAGCTCGGCGACTAAGTGCGCTCTCGGCCACAACAACACTGACGGTGAAGGCCCAGCTCTTGGTGGGTGATGTAAACAATGTACAGAGGTCGACTTTCTCCCAGGCTGGGGGTTATCTCTGTGAGGGACCCTATCACAATCAATAGACAGGGCTGGGCAGTAATGGGGTCAATTGCTTTGTTATCGTTCATGCAGACAATGGAAGAGCCCAGGAGAAATTCCAAAGAAAAGCAGAATCTGCTGCCTAAAGGCAAAGGACAGTATCCTTCTGAGCATGTTGGTAACATGTTGCTTTCTTTCGAAATGCTTGCAACCGTGCCATTTAAATCAGCTTACTGAATATCAGGAATGCCATGGACAGACATCACTGCATTCTAAGCACACAGTGCTGTCTGTCTTTTTTATGTGTATAGAGGTTTCATGGTAAAGGGAAAATTACGAATCACTCTGTAATTTTCAAATCACATGTATTAAAATGATTGCGGACTCAAGGGAAAAAGGATTATAGTCTCTGTTAATGTAAATGTTTATGTCATCCCACTGCATCAAATCAAAGTGCAGGATGTCTTTTTTAGTTTTCACAGTCTAGAATACCATCCTTAGAATTATAAACTATTTTACTGTTTACGATTTACTTTTTACTGTTTGCTATTTGAGTTTATTCAAGAACTTCCTGCAAGCTCACAGTGTACTGCTGGCCAGAAAAGCCATTTTCAATGGTCAATGGACACAAATCAAAGTCAAAGGTCTTTCCCAGAAATTAGATAGTATTAATCGTTTAATAGCAGATTACTTCATCTTAAAAATTAAGAAAGGCCAGAATTAAGAGGAGACCATTTGATCCATTTTACTCATTCTACAACATCTATGAGAATTTCCAAATCTTCCAGATTTGGTAAGTGAGATCTCCCATCAGGTCTCAGGTCTCAGGTCTTTTTGTCCTCTGTTCTCAAGATATAGACATCTCTCTGCAATGCAAAAATGCATACATTTCTTTTACATACAGAATGTCACTTTCAGTTTGTTCATTTGACAGGGATTTCTATATCCTGGTGATCAAAAGTCTTTTCAGAGCATGGACTTCACCTTCACTCAAAGCCCAGGGGTATAAGGGAGATTCAGATAGATAGATGGATCAGCCTATGGAGAAAAACAGCTGTGTGACAAACGTTTTTTCCACTGCTCAGTGCAGAAAGTTATGGTTGGTTGTGCAAACTCTCAGAGAGACCAAAACGAACAGATAAAAATGAACACTAGAATGTAAACATCTTCTGATGTGAGCAGAGCACAGGGGCAGCTGTATTCACACACAAGTATTTTCAAAAGGCCCTTTCAGGTCAAGGTCAAGCAGACTTTATGCTCTTTGTCTTTCAAGACGGACTAGTTTCTCTTTAACTCCTTTCCTTCTCTAATCAAGCAGGGAGTCTGTACACAACTAATGACAATAACTTTAAATAACTTTAATGTTGAGTCTTAAGCCACTTAAATTATGTACGTACAGCTATATCAAAGAAGTCGGCTTTCATTTGTCATTGCAGTAGTGTATGCGTGCTAAGATCCCGATAACCTAGGATCAGGCACAGTGCTCACGCCAGCAGCCTCAATTCATCTGCCACCCAAACAAATTAATCCCCCCTTGCTTTAGTGCTTCACACTGGAATGCACACCAGCACTGTATGTGAACTTTATCAGTGCTGTGCCTCTCATGTCTGAGCATTGTCTAGCAAGAAGAACACAATGAAATGTGTCAGGTACCTACAACAGTGCCATGTGAGCTGGCTCATTTGGAGCAGCAGAAGAATGTGTGCAATAAAGTCCAATTTGAGATGCTGTCTACACGCACCATCAGGACGGCCCACATGTGGATCCCTGGGCAGGGATGAGACCGGCAGCTTCACACAAAACTGCTGGATAGAAAACTAAATGCCCCCTGGCAATTCTTTCCCCAGCTTTTATCGCAGCAAAGGCTAGATAAAAATGCTCAGCAAAGTAAAAGGAAAATCAAGTGAATACAGTGGTTTCAATTTAACACTGGTCACAAAATAAACACGTAAAAAAATCCAGATAGTAAGTAACCTTTGCTGAAGCAAATCCAGTGAAAGCTTACAACAACGAAAGCTTAAGTTCAGATACAAAATGTGATGCTTACTTTCTGTGGCCAGGAGTCGGCAGAGTCAGCTTCCATAGGGTTTTACAGTAACATAGTGAGCTGTGTTTCTCAGATTGCTGGCCAGGTACCCATTAGGCTGTCAGCTATCAAGTTACTCTCCAAATAAGTTTAAAGCTGTGCCGTGTTTCTCTATCCCTAATGTGGCACAGAAAAGAGCTTTATAATATAAGCCTCTGAGGTTTGTCCCTAAGATTCTTGGTCCTACCTAAAGGATACAATACGGAATTATTGTGATTGACTTCCTGTTTGGACATTCTGTAGAGGAAGAGCAATTTAACCATAATGAGCTCCACAGTTTAATTCAGTCATTTCTACAATGAACTATAGAAGGAGTAAATAAGTGGTAATTATAATCGCAAAAAAATAAGTAGTGCATCAAATAAATTACAAATTACTGTTACAGTGTGATCGTGTAACCACCGAGGCATCCTTCAGGTTAAAGGTTTAAAGTGGGACATATGCATTAGGTTTAACTTTACTACTACTACTACTACTACTACTACTTATAAAAATAATAATATGGAGAAAAGCAGAACAAAAAAGCACTCTCGGCCCAAACCCTTTTTTATTCATGAGAAGAAGGAAAATCTCATCCATGCTATCAGTAGGAAAAGAGCAGAAAGTAGGTGCAGTGACAAGCACAGAGCATCATGTATTTCCATTTATTCTACCTTCTGTTGTAACTCATGGACCTCCCGAGGTCACAGCTCAGGTCAATTGGACCATCATGTCACATAATGGAGGCTTAAAACAATTCCTGGGGTTTTGGGAAAGTTCACTTCAGAACGCTGAAATTCTTTTCCAATCTTTTTTCAAAGGCGGCGAGTCCTTATTTTGGTTAACTTCAATACCAAACCAATCACATCTTCCAAAAACACTGACCTGCCTTTGCTCCACACTCCACACACGCAAAAGAGCTGTCTCTATGGAACTGAAGGGGAGTGAGGAGATCTTGCTGAACAATCTTTGGCTACAACTCGAAGAGTGTGCATTTTTTTGTGCTCATAAGAGCACAACCACCCGAAATGCAGTTTTTCTGAATGTTGACTTTTTAAAAAAAGTTCCATTGTTTTCAGTAGGAGCCCTAAAGATAGCTCTCGCTGTTGCAGGCACGAAGGAGTTAAAGAGTTCAGCTGGCCCCCGGAATGGAGATTCATAACTCCTCTCACTGGCCCTGCGGTATGTGTGTGCGCGCTTGTGATCGCAGACAGCGCAGGGCTACTCCGATCCCAGCTGTCCCAGTAATAACATTGATTCACTTTGTAAAATATACAAGACTCTCTCCTGGGGAGATTGATGCTCCCTGGTGATCAAAGTGCCTAAGTGGTACTTAATGTTATCAGGCTCCCCCTCTCCGTGCCCTCCTAGTTCGGCCTCAGATGTCTTGAAACAGCTTTTGTGAGGAAAAAGGAAAGAACTGAGAAGTAGAGTAAAAAGATGAGTGTCACATATAAGAATAACAGCACTAAAGTGCTCCAAAAAGCACACATACAACACATATTAGATGAATTGAAGAGAGATCCATACTGTAGCTCAGAATGAACCGTAAGTATATTCTCTCACTTTCTCTGATCTCTGTCCACTTTCTGTGCCCTATGACCTGTCTGTTTCTGAACTGTAGACATAGACCTAACATCCACACTGTGTGCTGAGAAAATATTTTAAATGTCGCATCTACAGAAAACACAGAAATAGATTTTTAATAACTGGATATAACTTTAAACAGACCACAATGTCCAATTTACACATCACCTCTGCCTGTGTCATATGGAAGGTTACTATAACCAACGGAACAACTGCTTTAACTACATTAAAGGGAGGGTATCCAAGATGTTGCCATGTTCCTTATCTATATCATCAATCACAATTCAAAGGAAGAAACAAGGGGATAATCACCCTATGTATTAATGCTGTGATCCACTAGAGACTTCCCTCAATCAGCACATCACCCAGGATGGCAGGTGTGATCTTGAGAGACATCTGGGATTGTGAAGGAATTCATCTGAGTGACACTGCAGCAGAAATTCAGGCAGCAGGCCAGATTAACACTAATTCGGCATTCGTGATTACAAGAGAAGTTTTCAAAGCTACCACAAAGATAAGAGCCATAAACCTCAGTTGTAATTTTAAAGCAGGATGCAAATAGGTCTTTCAGTCCTGATGATTGCAAATAATTTTTAAATCTGTCTTTTTACCCATCTGTGGTTTGATCATGAAAGCTTTTTTGCCCCTGGCCGTGTTCCTTGTGCCCATTTCAACTGGTATTTGTGGCTCCCAGTTCTCTGTCTGGGCATTGAAGGGGTTAACCCTGCAAAAGGCTTTAGTCTTTCAATGTGACAGATATCAATTGTGCACATTGGACATAAAAAATATTAGCTGGGTTTCAGAACAACAAGGTGAAAAATTGGATCCAACAGGCTCTGTGGCTTCCACTTCAGTGAATTATTGATTCTCTCCTGGATGCTGGAAGGTGTTTCCAGCACAAGGGGTCTGGTAGCTGTCACCGAGGACTTCTGGGAGATGGAAGTGGCTGTCACCTTCTTAAAAGAACAGAGAAACTGTGGCTGCCTGCGTTTAATGGGGACCAGCGTAGACATCGGCTGCGGTCACATCTCAGAGTCTGCGAGGGACAAGGGAAGAGGAAGGAGTCTGTAAGCCACTGAGCTGGAAGCTGTGAAGTCCTGTTTGGGGACAGGAGAGACAGGCTGTGGTACGCACGGTGACCCCTCATGTGGGCTGGCAACAGGCCGAAATGGAAGGCGTAGTGAGCACTCGAGCACAAGAGCAGGAAGCAGGAGCCTCACAAGCTGCCAACATATCGGAGATCAATAAGAAGACAGCTCTACTTAAAAGAACAAGGTGCTTTCCCTAGTATCATACACTGGTGTATTATGTGCATGTCATCCAACTGTGCTTCGCTGCTTCTTGTAATCCTTCCTTTACTGTCACTGAGTGCAGGACCTCCAGGAGTGGGGAGAGATCAACCCAGCTGTCTCCCACTTTCTGACATTCCTTCTTATTCCCAGTGCCCATTTCTCAGAGAAAACTATGATGCTGGGGCTTAACTTTTCAGAATCAAAGAAAAACACATCTCGTGACTACAGGTCGTGCAGTGTCCAGTCGAGAGCAAAATTTAAAAAAACAAATGAGAGTAAAACACCCCACTATAAAAGCCTGACCTCTCAGAACCAGGTCAGCTGGCTATTCAGCAGCAGGCAGTATGCAGGCCACCACAGTAGAAGCAAGCTTATGCTGTGCTTTGCTGATTGACTGTGAAGTTCATTTTGGTTCAATATTTGGTGGGTGAGAAACTTGCCATTGCTTGGCATTACTGCTCACATAAGTTCATGGCTTGTACATTTGGTTCTTGCTGAATTTAAAGTTGGTAGAAGGTTTTTCTTATTTTCTTATTTTAATAAGTGTATGTACTATATAGGTCTGCATTCATTTGACTGCATGTTTCCAAGAAACTGTGTCAGAGTGTGGCTGCTGTCTTAAATACCTTTCTTGGGCAGTAATATTTACTCCAGTCTCCCCGAGCTCTAGCAGTTCAGGTCCAGTGTGAAGGTTTTCTGGTTAAAGACATAATGGTCCTATCCTACATATAGAGAAACAGGAGCAGGTGGAAGCTACAGTAAATCCACTTTGAAGAGTGTAAAGAGTAAAAACTACACTCTTACTCCTTTGCGGTATAGGAGTAGGCTCTACCTGGTCCTTTGCAGCCTGCAATCATATGCAGAGTCTCACTTGAACCTTATCTGAAGGTAATAGAGTTTTCACTCTGACATTTGAAAACAGTTGAAGAAACGGCTATGTTTTTGCCACAAGCCCTAAGGAATAATTAATACATAAAATCCATGTACACACTACAGTCTGACAGTATAAAATAAGAAAACACTTAACAGACTATATTTATGGCAAATTTTCAATATATTGATTATCAATATAAAATCCACTTGCAATGTCACATCACAATTTCACTTTCTAGATGAGCACCCTTCCAACAACACTGCACATTACAAAAGCTGCTCTCTTTATATCGATAGACTCTGCCTTTTGAAGGTTCCTGTCTCATTCTGTACTACTCAACATTACATATCTGAAACTACTTAAGATCTACAGACCTCCATACTCCAGTTAACACTAGTGCTGGATGTTTAGACAAAAGAACACACTCACATTTCTGCCCCCTCTTTGCCTTGACAATTTGTACTTATACATTAAGATCTACTCCTTAGAAAACTATAACTGCTCTGGCAATAAAGCCTAATTTGGGTAAATTAGCTTAAGGCTAGGGCTGATTGCAATGTATGACCTAATAACATTACATTAAAACATCCCTGGGCTCCTAAGCTTTAAATACTGCTTTTGTGAGTTATCTGAACTCCTGAGGAGTTAGTGAATTTAACTGAACTGACATTGGACAAAGGCATTTCTAATGTGGATACAACAGCTTTGAAGATGATGCTCCTTTTTCTGTTTCTGTACACTAATGAGCCTCCAGGCCTGTAAACATAAAATTTTCAATTTCAAACACAGGTGACAGTTTTTGGAACAATAAGACCAGAAAGAAGACAAAGCTCTCATTCACCAAATGAAGGCATTTTCCTAAAATTGCCCCAGTCTATAATCTCTTAAATATTCATGAAAAACGCTGCTCCATAAACAATTTTCTGTCCTAATCAAAGTGAAAAAATGGGTTAAACTGAACAAAAGAATTCTGAAAACACATATGAGAAGAGGCAGATACCTGCCTTTCTTACTGTAAGCTTTCTGTGTGTGTTACAGCGCATGGGATACCATCAAAAGAACTTGCAGCGGGAATCGCGATACACATGCAACGCTGCGGCGCAGCTGCATCTGAACCCTACAGAAGGCGATCAAGACATCAACAGGGAAATTCTGCAGTCAGCAAGGAGTTAAGAGGCAGTAAATTGGGCCCAGCAGATAAACAGAAATCATCATTAGTCGTGGCTCATCGTGCCGCTGTGATCTCTGCCCGAGAGATAATCGGCAGCTCCTGCTCACCGCGCGGCCATATTTCAAGTTAAAGAGGAAGGCGCGACCTGGCGGGTCAGGGGAATGAAAGGGCCCGTTTGACAGGTCAGTGGGCGGCTGTCTGAAGAAAGGGCCAGGTCAGGGGTCAAACTAACATCAAGATAGGCATGAGCGTTCAGGTCAGCCACCGCCTCTCCCTCCGCAGAGACAGGCGGGCAGCCCGCCAGACATCTGAGCCCGCCGGAGTCAGGCCGCAGACAGGGAGATTAGGGGTTCTTCATCAGCCTCATTATTACTGCTGTTGTGGTTATTGATGATGTGGATGAAATTTTTATTATTATTTTCATATTAACATAATTCCTATTACTGCCAATGCATCTCTTGCACTGAGCAAAATATGAGATACTTGAGATACTATAGTACTTTGCCAGTCTCATCCTTATTTGTATTGGCTTATTTCTATTGTATATTTACTTGACTTTTTGCCACATTATCTAAACCCTCTCCACCCTTATCCTACATTATCATTTACTTTAAAATGTTACACATTCAAACTGCATATCATGTTTCATAGCCCAAAGATTATTTCAAAACTCTGCATGAGAAAATACCTTCTGACTAATTTGTCACCTGTTGAGCAGACATGTTGCCATCATTATTAATACCATTATGGTCAAAGTTGTCTTTATTATTACTGTCTTTATTAGCATTATAATTACATTTGTGAGACCATGCACATCTTAAACACTACCCATGCTATTTACTCATAGCAGGTTGCCAAATGCATCCAGTCTGTTTGTGAATAGGAGGATGTGTAGCTTCGTACTGAAGACATCAGCCCAGGTGAGTGCTTCATGGCAGGAAATCAGGCTTTATGTGGACCTTTACTTACAAAGGAACAGCCCTCATAACTTAATCGCAGGACAGGACAATGAGAGAGAATATTCTGGCTTAATGTCTTTTGTTTTGTTTCATTTACAGAAAATCATCAAACTTTCTAAATCCTGAGTGATCCAAACTCCTTGCAATGCCCTTGACGTCTAACCATGTCACCCATTCACAGGGTAGACACTGGGAGTTAGTTCTATTCTGGAGCTCAATCAGTTTAGTCTGGTGGTACAGTTAGTCAGAAGAGCCCTCAGTAATCTCTGACCTCCTCATTATTTCGGAGAAATTTCATAAGTTCTTCACAGTACTTTTTTGCACCTATGTAAAACATATTATGACCCTGAAAAATGGAGAGTGTCCACAGAACAGTTACAGAACTATGCTTGCCATTCAAATAAACACAAGACAGGTTGCACTTGATTTTGTTTATACAGTATGCTCGTGCATATCTATTGTACATACACAGCCCATACCAGCAAAATTATGAAATAATTTTATTATAAAAGCATCCCCTGTAGCAGCTCCTCATGGGTGCTGCTTCTAAAAATACTAAATCGCAGTGAGATTTAGCCCATAAAATGGATTCCTGAACCAGTTCAAAATCCCGTGTGACAAAATGGGAATCAAACCAAGCCCTCCCTACAAACACGGGACCTGTGAGACCTAGCAGAGACTGAAGAAGGCAAAGGACAAATAGCACCCGTCACTGCACATTGAGGTAATCAACGTAAGGAGCCAGAATGACGGGCAGATTGCACAGACTGTAGCAGCCCCTTCATATAATCCCAGACTAGAGACAAGACTCAGCCAGCCTCACCCTCCCGAATAAAAATCTGGGATTACAGTCTGAGGATCCATAACCCCCAGCTCGTCATTAGACTCTTATTAGCCGTTGTGTTAGAGGGAAAGCTGGGGTCAGGTCTCGCCATCAGTCAGTCTGTCTGGCACCAGGCTCTAGCGCAGCTGAGCGAGATGTGTGAGAGACCCCTGCTGCCAAGAGGCAGGCAGGAAGGAGGAACAAACCGCTCCTAATGGAGACATGACATGTTCGGTCGGGCGGAAACTCAAACAAACGATTAAGGGGCCGTGGAATCTTCAGGGCTGTGGGCTTCCCCCTCTGCTAAGTCTGGCAAGAGCGGGACTTTAAAGAGCCCTGCTGGACAGGCACTGCTCCTGTAAGGCATCTTCCAGGACTGCTGTCCCAGAGTCCAGTCAAGGGCGTTACTGCACAGGAAGACACTACTGTGCGCACCTCGCTGAGCGTGGGATGAGGGATGAGGGGCTTCATATGCAAAAAACATTTTAGCAATTTATTTTCAAAAATGTTATAAGGTAACCCTAAAATACAATGAAAGAACTGAAATCCCTATACATGGGGTAAGGTGACACAGGCGCACACTCATTAACATTGCTGCCTTGCAGCTCTGGGGCCCTGGGTTCAATTCTGAGCCTGGGGTGCTGTCCGTGTTGAGTTTGTATGTCCTCCCTGTGTTTCTGTGGGTTTCCTCTAGGTGCTCTGAGTTCCTCCCACAGTCCAAAGACATACTGGTAGGTTAATTACCTTGTGGGAAAACTGTCTCTGGTACAGGTATGTGCCTCTGAGTGGGCCCTGTGATGGACTGGTATCCTGTCCATGGAGTACCCCACCTTCTGCCCACTGCCTGTATTGGATAGACTCCTGCTCCCCCGTGACCCTGAACTGGATAAAAATGGATAGACCTCAAATCTGGCCTT